TCCAGAAAATCACATTGTATGATTTTAAAGTAATTAATTTGCATTTTATTGCATGACATAAGTATTTGATACATCAGAAAAGCAGAACTTAATATTTGGTAGAGAAACCTTTGTTTGCAATTACAGAGATCATAGGTCTTGACCAGGTTTGCACACACTGCAGCAGGGATTTTGACCTTCTCCAGATCCTTCAGGTTTCGGGGCTGTCGCTGGGCAATACAGACTTTCAGCTCCCTCCAAAGATTTTCTATTGGGTTCAGGTCTGGAGACTGGCTAGGCCACTCCAGGACCTTGAGATGCTTCATACGGAGCCACTCCTTAGTTGCCCTGGCTGTGTGTTTCGGGTCGTTGTCATGCTGGAAGACCCAGCCACGACCCATCTTCAATGCTCTTACTGAGGGAAGGAGGTTGTTGGCCAAGATCTCGCGATACATGGCCCCATCCATCCTCCCCTCAATACGGTGCAGTCGTCCTGTCCCATTTGCAGAAAAGCATCCCCAAAGAATGATGTTTCCACCTCCATGCTTCACGGTTGGGATGGTGTTCTTGGGGTTGTACTCATCCTTCTTCTTCCTCCAAACACGGCAAGTGGAGTTTAGACCAAAAAGCTATATTTTTGTCTCATCAGACCACATGACCTTCTCCCATTCCTCCTCTGGATCATCCAGATGGTCATTGGCAAACTTCAGACGGTTCTGGACATGCGCTGGCTTGAGCAGGGGGACCTTGCATGCGCTGCAGGATTTTAATCCATGACGGCGTAGTGTGTTACTAATGGTTTTCTTTGAGACTGTGGTCCCAGCTCTCTTCAGGTCATTGACCAGGTCCTGCCGTGTAGTTCTGGGCTGATCCCTCACCTTCCTCATGATCATTGATGCCCCACGAGGTGAGATCTTGCATGGAGCCCCAGACCGAGGGTGATTGACTGTCATCTTGAACTTCTTCCATTTTCTAATAATTGCGCCAACAGTTGTTGCCTTCTCACCAAGCTGCTTGCCTATTGTCCTGTAGCCCATCCAGCCTTGTGCAGGTCTACAATTTTATCCCCGATGTCCTTACACAGCTCTCTGGTCTTGGCCATTGTGGAGAGGTTGGAGTCTGTTTGATTGAGTGTGTGGACAGGTGTCTTTTATACAGGTAACGAGTTCAAACAGGTGCAGTTAATACAGGTAATAAGTGGAGAACAGGAGGGCTTCTTAAAGAAAAACTAACAGGTCTGTGAGAGCCGGAATTCATACTGGTTGGTAGGTGATCAAATACTTATGTCATGCAATAAAATGCCAATTAATTACTTAAAAATCATACAATTTGATTTTCTGGATTTTTGTTTTAGATTCTGTCTCTCACAGTTGAAGTGTACCTATGATAAAAATGACAGACCTCTACATGCTTTGTAAGTAGGAAAACCTGCAAAATCGGCAGTGTATCAAATACTTGTTCTCCCCACTGTATATATACAGTGGGGAGAACAAGGATTTGATACACTGCCGATTTTGCAGGTTTTCCTACTTACAAAGCATGTAGTGGTCTGTAATTTTTGTCATAGGTACACTTCAACTGTGAGAGACAGAATCTAAAACAAAAATCCAGAAAATCACATTGTATGATTTTTAAGTAATTAATTTGCCTTTTATTGCATGACATAAGTATTTGATACATCAGAAAAGCAGAACTTAATATTTGGTACAGAAACCTTTGTTTGCAATTACAGAGATCATACGTTTCCTGTAGGTCTTGACCAGGTTTGCACACACTGCAGCAGGGATTTTGGCCCCCTCCTCCATACCGACTTTCGACAGATCCTTCAGGTTTCGGGGCTGTCGCTGGGCAATAAGGACTTTCAGCTCCCTCCAAAGATTTTCTATTGGGTTCAGGTCTGGAGACTGGCTAGGCCACTCCAGGACCTTGAGATGCTTCTTACGGAGCCACTCCTTTGTTGCCCTGGCTGTGTGTTTCGGGTCGTTGTCATGATGGAGGACCCAGCCACGACCCATCTTCAATGCTCTTACTGAGGGAAGGAGGTTGTTGGCCAAGATCTCGCGATACATGGCCCCATCCATCCTCCCCTCAATACGGTGCAGTCGTCCTGTCCCATTTGCAGAAAAGCATCCCCAAAGAATGATGTTTCCACCTCCATGCTTCACGGTTGGGATGGTGTTCTTGGGGTTGTACTCATCCTTCTTCTTCCTCCAAACACGGCAAGTGGAGTTTAGACCAAAAAGCTATATTTTTGTCTCATCAGACCACATGACCTTCTCCCATTCCTCCTCTGGATCATCCAGATGGTCATTGGCAAACTTCAGACGGTTCTGGACATGCGCTGGCTTGAGCAGGGGGACCTTGCATGCGCTGCAGGATTTTAATCCATGACGGCGTAGTGTGTTACTAATGGTTTTCTTTGAGACTGTGGTCCCAGCTCTCTTCAGGTCATTGACCAGGTCCTGCCGTGTAGTTCTGGGCTGATCCCTCACCTTCCTCATGATCATTGATGCCCCACGAGGTGAGATCTTGCATGGAGCCCCAGACCGAGGGTGATTGACTGTCATCTTGAACTTCTTCCATTTTCTAATAATTGCGCCAACAGTTGTTGCCTTCTCACCAAGCTGCTTGCCTATTGTCCTGTAGCCCATCCAGCCTTGTGCAGGTCTACAATTTTATCCCCGATGTCCTTACACAGCTCTCTGGTCTTGGCCATTGTGGAGAGGTTGGAGTCTGTTTGATTGAGTGTGTGGACAGGTGTCTTTTATACAGGTAACGAGTTCAAACAGGTGCAGTTAATACAGGTAATAAGTGGAGAACAGGAGGGCTTCTTAAAGAAAAACTAACAGGTCTGTGAGAGACGGAATTCTTACTGGTTGGTAGGTGATCAAATACTTATGTCATGCAATAAAATGCAAATTAATTACTTAAAAATCATACAATGTGATTTTCTGGATTTTTGTTTTAGATTCCGTCTCTCACAGTTGAAGTGTACCTATGATAAAAATGACAGACCTCTACATGCTTTGTAAGTAGGAAAACCTGCAAAATCGGCAGTGTATCAAATACTTGTTCTCCCCACTGTATATATATATGTATATATATATATATATATATATATATGTGTGTATGTAGTAACCAAAAAATTGTTAAACAAATCAAAATATATTTTATATTTGAGAATCTTCAAATAGCCACCCTTTGCCTTAATGACAGCTTTGCACGCTCTTTGTTTTGATTTGTTTCACACTTTGTTGGTTACTACATGATTCCACATGTGTTACTTCATAGTTTTGATGTCTTCACTATTACTCTACAATGTAGAAAATAGTAAAAATAAAGAAAAACCCTTGAATGAGTAGGTTTCTAAAACTTTTGACCGGTATATATATATATTTTGTATACATATTTTTTTTTTGGGGGGGGGCATAAAATACTGTAAATACACCAGGCAAATCAGCTCCAAGTGATTTTAATTTGGGAAATCTGTTCCAAAGTATTCCCAACCATAATAAGTGGATATGCACTGAGTATACCAAACATTAGGAACACCTTGTTGACTCCAATTCTTCCGAACAGTTGTGTCAAGTTGACTGGATGTCCTTTACATTTTTCACATTTCAGTTGAACATTTCTCTATTTTTCTTTGTCATTGAGGACTCTCATTATGCTTTACATTTGACTTATTTGTGCGCAACTTCACGGAATGACTTGATTTACTGTTGTAGTAGAGAAGTGTGCCAGGAATGATGTGTGGGTCAGTGACGGCACGCGCCCCTCGCTCATTAGAATATCAATGCACGAGCGAACATCAGTGGCCCTTCCCCCTCTAAATCACACACACACACGCTTTGGAGTGAAGCACTTTTTTTTTTCGATTGGCGCTGCTTGGTAGAAGGGTTCGTTCTCAATAAACAGTAGACTTCAACATCTCTGCGCACTTTACCATTAATTATGAGTCTACTCTGCGTAAAACGGCAGTGCACTCAATAGACTACCCATATTGTTAAGACGTGATTGGTAGGAGATTTTAAATTAATACTTTTAAATTGACTGTAGTCCAATATCCAACAGTAACTGTTTGGGTAATTAGTTAATTTTAATAATACAGGACAAACATATTATCTGAAAGTGGTCAAGGATCTTAAAGTGCATGGTCTAAAGTAGCCTAGTCCTATAGCTTCTAGATAGCACCTTTTTTTCTAAGTGTATAGGCTATAATGGCAATAGGCACGACAGATGCTGGAAATACCCCTGTTGATACCCCCTAAATCAATATGCATTAAGAAAGTAGTGTGCAGTTGCGAAGGACGGTTTGAGAAAACAAAAGTGTGTGGGGACACCGCACGATAGATCATGTGCCATTGATTACCATACAGCTGTTCACATGAAGTTCACACAAAGGCAAAAACTCTAGCCCGCTGCAGGGTCCAGCGAGAGTGCCCCTTCCCCAACTCAACCTCAACAATAAACCCCCGAATATCGCACAATGAAAGGTCTCATCCATAACCTACCCGCACGCGTCTGAGCAATTACAAATTTGGGACTGAAGAATGGGCGGAACGTGCTTTTCTTCCGTACTTCCTTCAGATCGATATTGACCCCCCCCCCCCCACACACACACACACACGCTCGAAGTATAGGCCTTATGTTTTTTTTGCTAATAAATTTAATCAGCAACAAATCCACACACATGATCCGACGTGTCCTGGTTGTCCCTTGGGTCTTACCATGCCCCGCCTCCTGACGCGTGACAGGGGTATAAAACACATTCACTTTCATTAAACACCAGAACCAAAACAAGTGAAGACTTGCGACAAGGACATATGGAAGAGCGAGGCCTTTGCTTGGACTGCTATACCTTTTCATACTTATTTTATGGTGTGACTGCAAGGATTTCTTCTCTCCAACTTTAGCTATTTTAGTTTTTGGGAATACGCGCCTATCACATTTCTATTGGACACAACACATGCAAACACCTGTGGATTGTTGTATAGCTACCAACCAAACACCTGCCAGAAATGGCCTCGCTACCTCTTAGATGTGTCTTGGCTTTGGCTGTAATGCAAGTGGTAAGTACGAAGTGTAACAATAAGGAACCATTCAATATTGCCTTGCTTTATGCACAGCAGATCTATAATGTCAATTCGCTCTTCTCTTGGCAGGTATCCTCCTCTGGTGTGTTCGAGCTGAAAGTCCATTCGTTCAACACTGCTCACCGCATATGCAGAAGGCATAGGGACTGCCACATCTTTTTCAGAATTTGTCTCAAACACTCAGAGGATGTCATCCATGCGGAGCCACCATGCACTTTTGGAACAGGACACACCAACGTCATCCGGGCAGATCAGACCTCAATTTCCAGCAGCGCTCCTATTAGAATACCGTTCCATTTCAAGTGGCCGGTAAATAATATTTTATACATAAATACTAATGTTAGACAAGGAAATAGAAGTGTTATGTTACTGTATCATTCTTGCATAAACTTTAATCCAGGATTTACCTCTATTCCAGGGAACATTTTCGCTGATCATTGAAGCATGGAACGCAGAAACCCCTACAGAATACACAGGTAAGGTGTTGTTGCAGTAGGCTTATTATAGCCTTTTTTTAACAGCCTACCTTTTACTTTCAAACATTCAATATGTCAATAGGCTACTACAATACTATTTTTCTTATATTTTTCAGACAACCAAAACAACCTGGTCAGCCGCTTGGCTACCAGAAGAAGACTGGCCATAGGCGAGGACTGGTCTCAAGACGTCCACTTCGGAGAGCAGAGCGAGCTGCGCTATTCCTATCACGTATTCTGTGACGAGTACTACTTTGGCGACAGCTGCGCCGAATACTGCAGACCCCGCGACGACACTCTGGGCCACTACACCTGTGACGTGGAGGGGAACAAACAATGTCTGGAGGGCTGGAAGGGAAACTACTGTTCTGATCGTAAGTTCAATCTACTTGGTTAACATCATTGACTTTAGGCTACATTACTGTCCAGACTCAGATGCTGTCAACCAGGTTGTCTCGGTCTGCACTGTATAGGCCTATTGTAAATAGACTGCACAGTGCACGCAATGATTAATTGATGAATGAGGCGAATGTTCTTTTTGGCATTCTCCTTAGTGAAAACAATGAATGCAATTAGAAGGTATCACAAGGGCAGCATATAGACCTGAATGATTGGTGGCAATAATTTTTACATACAGGCCTATATATAATCACACCAATAATTAATCATATGCAACACATTTTAATTCCACATTTTATGAAAATGTTTGTGCTGAGTTATTTCTAAAGTAAGATTACTCTGCCTCAAGGATTTCAATTGAATCCCTTAACCAGCCGTTCTACTCCTTTAGACAGGCATAATTGCATGAGTCTTAAAAGAGCCTTAAAAGTATCTACTTTTATCTCAGAAAGCCCCCTGTAGCGTTGCTTTATAGACTTTATAGTAAGGAAGGCTTGTGGCGTTGGATCTGCCTTTTGTTCCCCTGTAACAAAGGGATAAAGAACCGTGACACACCAGGGACACATGTTGGAGATGCTGTGTGTGTGTGTGTGTGTGTGTGTGAGTTGCAGGTGTGTGTGAGGCAGAGGGAGAAAAGAAAGTCCTGCTGTCTGTTTCTACGGTGACTTGCTCACCAGCTGCTTGGTTTAATACTTAACAAACAGTTGAAGTCTGAGACGGGGGGCGGGAGGGCCGGGGGGTGGGGTCAGACAGAGTTGGGTGTCTGTGTGTGTTCTGTGATGTAAAGCGGTGGTGGGGGGTGCATTCCCAATCTACCCATTCATTGTAATCACACCCTCTCCCCCCTCCTCCCACCAGCCATCTGTTCGGCGGACTGCAGTACGAGGCACGGCTACTGCGAGGCCCCTGGGGACTGCAAGTGCAGAATGGGTTGGCAGGGGCCCTTGTGCAACGAGTGTGTGCGCTACCCGGGCTGCCTCCATGGCACCTGCGGCCAGCCGTGGCAGTGCGACTGCAAGGAGGGTTGGGGCGGCCTCTTCTGCGACCAGGACCTCAACTACTGCACCAACCATCGGCCGTGTGCCAATGGTGCCACCTGCACCAACACAGGCCAGGGCAGTTACACCTGTACCTGCCGCCCGGGCTACGGTGGCACCAACTGTGAGCTGGAGACCAATGAGTGCGACAGCAACCCCTGCAAGAACGGAGGCAGCTGCAACGTGAGTAATATTACAGCTTGCAGGAAATAGGGGTAGTTAAATATTGGCTAGGATTTTTTTTAGATGTTCAATTGTGTGTTAATTAAACAATATTTTTTCTCTTAGTTAATTTGGCATGCCATGTTATATATTGTTTTTTTTTACTTAATTGTCCAGTCCATTTGAACGTAAAATGGAAATGTGTCCTTGGCACAAACACAGTGTAACATAACACATTACAGTAATAAACATGTTCAAATAAGACACAATGTCAGAAACATGATCAGTAATCATGGATCATCTATGGATTGTAAAAAGCCAAAGCTCAGTCAAGGTGTCTGCAAGAATTCTCTCGACGTTATCAAAAATACTCGAATGTCAATACTCTCGCTCTTTAGGACCTGGAGAACGACTACTCATGCACCTGCCCCCAGGGCTTCTATGGGAAGAACTGTGAGATCATCGCCATGACGTGTGCCGATGGGCCCTGCTTCAATGGAGGCACATGCATGGAGATGCTGACGGGGGGCTATACTTGCCGTTGCCCTCCCACCAACACTGGCTCCAACTGCGAGAAGAAACTGGACCGCTGCAGCAACAGCCCCTGTCTGAATGGTGAGTCTGACTGCAGTGGATCACGCTCAAATTCAAGTATATCGTTTATTTGCCATTTGCAGGTATTAAAGTAGTACCTACATTGGAATGCTTTGTTGGAGCTCTCTCACATATAGTACAGTACATACACATGTACAGTAAAAAGATAATAAATAGTCATCAGAGAGCACAGCTGAACACTGTATGCTGGAAACACTCGGTTTGATATTTTAACCAATCTTTGTTAAACATAAATACCGAACTTGTTTTTGCATGGATAGGTTTTAACAGCTAGGACTGCTATTTCTTGTCCCGGAATCCCGCTTAACTGACAGGTTAAAGTCTGCTTGAAAGAGCCGCTAACCAAGCTAAGCTGCTAGCCATCAAGCTAACTAAGTTAGTCCCAGATGAGTTTTCCAATGGAGCCCTCTTTGTCTGGAGAAGTAAATGAACGGTTCCAGCGTTGTAGGAGCGCTATCTACTACGCTTTTTTTTGGGACAAATTGGATAACTCAGATATCCAATGCGGCAATTGTTTGCTTGCCGAGGATTATTGGCTTGAGTTGGCTTACTTGATCATGCAGGTTGCCATCCTACGTAAGAAACTGGGGAAAACGCAGAGTGGAATGTTTACCTTTTCTACTCCGATATCTAGACGGCGTTCGCGCTTGTTGGATGCATCTCCACCTTGTCGTTTGTCATTATCCGACTGGCCGGTGTGGCACGGAGTTTGTTCGCCAGGGGAGCCATCTCGTGCCTCTCCATCTGATAGCGGAGTCGAAGGAGTGCAGCTAGAGGAGCATGGTAATCAACGATTTCGAAGTCGACATCGGCAACCTTCCGTCCCTGCTCTGGATCGAGTTGGGCTTCTCCATCTGTCAGAGGCCTGCGCTGGGAGCTACGGGCTCAAGTTATCCTGCCTCTGGCCCGTGCTTAAAGGGTTCTCCGAATCCTGTGAAATGTGGGTGGATTTCCTCGTCTTTCTCGCCAGCTCCATGGTAAGAAATGTGACTGCCTGGTGCAAAAACAATGTCCTATCCCGGAGCTCGAGTAAATTACATTACTAAGCTGCTTCCGAATGTACCAAGGCAGGACATGGACATCGATTCTATCATAGTCCATGTGGGTTTTAATGACATTATGAAGGGCAGCTCTGACCAGTTGACACATATTATTGCAGCTCAATGGGTGTAACTTTTGTTGACAATTTCGATACCTTTTGGAAACAAAAAACGTTTTATAAGGAGGATGGGATCCACCCAAATAATTTGGGTTCCTGGATCCTTTCACAGCATTATAAGGCTGTGTTGAGGCAATGACTTATCAATGACCGAAGCCCAGCTCAGTTAATTCCTACCATTGTGTCGCTGAGTCATCATAATGCTTTAGCAAACGTACAGTGTACCAGGGGCATTGGTAGACGCAATGTAAATAAAATAATTTATGTCCATCTAAGTGCCCAGAATGCCTCTGCTGATCCTACAGCTATTGTATGCAGCAATCATGTGCCTATGAACCAGATTTATGCTGTTAGCACTGAGGCGGTGTGCCCTAGTAGGAAGTCCACAGAGTGCAGATCACCCTGCACTAACATAAATAACATGAGAATATCTACTTCTGTCAAGCTTCCCAGTAAAGCAATGAAAACAAGCAAGCATCCCAGAAAAGTGCTCAAAATAGCCCACATTAACATATGTAGCTTAAGAAACAAGGTTCATGTCATTAATAACTTGCTAGTAACAGATGACATTCATATTCTGACTATCTCTGAAACTCACTTTGACAATACCTTTGATGATACAGTGGTAGCAAGGTTATAACATTTACAGAAAACACAGAAATGCCAGTGGTGGAGGTGTTGCTGTTTATATTCAGAAGATTAGAGAGGATCTCATGTTCAATACTGTTGAAGTAATATGGCTACAGGTTCATCTGCCTCACCTAAAGCCCATTCTTTAATGATTTTTTCATTGGCAAGATTAGCAAATGTAGTCATGACATGCCAGCAACAAACACTGACACTACACATTCAAGTATATCTGACCAGATTATGAAAGACAAGAATTGTAATTTTGAATTCCATAAAGTGAGTGTGGAAGAGGTGAAAAAAAGTATTGTTGCCTATCAACAATGACAAGCCACCGGGGTCTGAGGATAATAGCGGACTATATTGCCACTCCTATTTGCCATATCTTCAATTTAAGCCTACTTGAAAGTGTGTGCCCTCAGGCCTGGAGGGAAGCAAAAGTCATTCCGCTACCTAAGAATAGTAAAGCCTCCTTTACTGGCTCAAATAGCAATAGAAAAGCTTTTGACATTATCAATCATAGTCTGCTGCTGGAAGAACGTATGTGGTATGGCTTTACATCTCCCGCTATATTGTGGATAAAGAGTTACCTGTCTAACAGAACACAGAGGGTGTTCTTTAATGGAAGCCTCGCCAACATAATCCAGGTAGAATCAGGAATTCCCCAGGGCAGCTGTCTAGGCCCCTTACTTTTTTCAATCTTTACAAACGACATGCCACTACGCTTTGAGTAAAGCCAGTGTGCCTATGTATGCGGATGACTCAACACTATACACGTCAGCTACTACAGCGACTGAAATGACTGCAACACTTAATAAAGAACTGCAGTTAGTTTCAGAATTGGTGGCAATGTATTAGTTAGTCCTAAATATTTCAAAAACTAAAAGCAAATGGGACAAATCATTCACTAAACCCTAAACCTCAACTAAATCTTGTAATAAATAATGTGGAAATTGAGCAAGTTGAGGTGACTAAACTGCTTGGAGTAACCCTGGTTTGTAAACTGTCATGGTCAAAACATATTGATACAACAGTAGATAAGATGGGGAGAAGTCTGTCTATAATAAAGCGCTGCTCTACCTTCTTCACAGCACTACCAACAAGGCAGGTCCTACAGGCCCTAGTTTTGTCGCACCTGGACTACTGTTCAGTCGTGTGGTCAGGTGCCACAAAGAGAGACTTAGGAAAATTGCAATTGGCTCAGAACAGGGCAGCAAGGCTGGCCCTTGGATGTACACAGAGAGCAAACATTAATAATACGCATGTCAATCTCTCCTGGCTCAAAGTGGAGGAGAGATTGACTTCATCACTACTTGTATTTGTGAGAGGTATTGACATGTTGAAAGCACCGAGCTGTCTGTTTAAACGACTAGCACACAGCTCAGACACCCATGCATACCCCACAAGACATGCCACCAGAGGTCTCTTCACAGTCCCCAAGTCCAGAACAGACTATGGGAGATGCACAGTACTACATAGAGCCATGACTACATGGAACTCTATTCCACATCAGGTAACTGATAAAAGCAGTAGAATCAGATTTATTTAAAAAAGATACAAATACACCTTGTGGAACAGCGGGGACTGTGGAGCAACACAAACATAGGCACAGACACATGCATACACACATATGCCCCGTGTAGCTCAGTTGGTAGAGCATGGCGCTTGCAACGCCAGGGTTGTGGGTTCGATTCCCACGGGGGGCCAGTATAAAAAATAAAAAAATAAAAAATGTATGCACTCACTAACTGTAAGTCGCTCTGGATAAAAGCGTCTGCTAAATGACTAAAAAAATACATTAAATGTTTTAAAAAAGAACAAAAAATATGTATATATATGATAACATAACGCACTATACACACACGTACACATGGATTTTGTGTTGTAGATATGTGGTAGTGGAGTAGGGGCTCGAGGGCACACACTTATTAGTGTGTTGTGAAATCTGTTATGAATGTATTGTAATGTTTTAAAAATTTTATAACTGCCTTCACTTTGCCGGACCCCAGGAAGAGTAGCTGCTGCCTTGGCAACAGCTAATGGGGATCCATAATAAATACAAATACTAATAGAAGTGGTAAGATAATAAAACAATGTGCACAAGTGCCAAAAGTAGGAGAAAAACAGCAGCCAGGTTGCTTGGTTTAAAAGGCGGATTGCACTGGGATTAAAGCTATTCTTGAACTTGGTAGTGGAGGTCTTGATGCTCCTGTAACCAGCCCAGATGGTAGCTGGGAGAACAGAGCACTCGCAGGGTGGCTGGGGTCTTTAGTCTTTTGGGCCCTAGTAAGGGATCTGCCTACATAGATGGCCTTGATGAAGCGGAGGGTAGTGCCAATGATTCTCTCTGCAGTGTGCGCTACCCTCTGAAACCTTTTGCAGTAATTTGCATTGGTGTTACCATAGCACACAGTGATGGATCCAGCCAGGATGCTCACTACTGTGCATTGGTAGAAGTTGACTTGAGTGCCTGTACTCATGCCAAACGTCTTCAGTAGCCTCAGGAAATAGAGCCGCTGCTATGCCTTCCTGATCACAGCATTTGTGTTGGCTGGCCATGTCAGATCAGATGAGATGGTTATGTCAAGGAATTTAAAACAGTCCACTAGCTCCCCAAAAAAGTGGAAACAGGTGAAAGTGGATGGAGAGGAGCTTGCCTTGGTTCTGGCAACATCTAGTGGTTGAAGTACGCAGCTGCACTTGCTTGGTAGCACAATGAATGAATACATGTTTTCAGGGTATATCAATTAATGAAGTCATGAAGTGCCAACAGCGTGATATCCCATGTACCCCATCTTGTACTACTTCAGAATGTGGTAGGCTGCAGTGTACTAAGTGGAGCCGTATGATATGTTGTCTTCTAGGTGGTGAGTGTCTAGACCTGGGTCAGAGCGTGCTGTGCCGCTGCCGCTCCGGCTTTACCGGTGCCAACTGCCAGGTCAACATCGACGACTGTGCCTCAGCGCCGTGCCAGAATGCCGGCACCTGCCAGGATGGCGTGGATGATTACACCTGTTCGTGCACGTTGGGCTACGCCGGCAAGAACTGTAGCGTGCGCTCAGATGCTTGCGGCCGCGGTGCCAGCGCCCAGCCCTGCCAGAATGGCGGCACCTGCTTCACCCACTTCACGGGGCCTGTGTGCCAGTGCCCGCCGGGTTTCATGGGACCCAGCTGCGAGTTCACGCTGCAGCCCAGCTTCCAGCCCGCCCCCCGACTGACCAATAAACCTTCCTCCACCGCCCTCACAGCCTCCTGCGTCTTGGCGTTATTTGCCCTTGGCCTGGCGACGGGCATCGTGGTGCTGCGGCGGCGCCGGCTGCGTGGCAGGAAGCAGCTGAACGACACGGCGGTGTTCAATGACCTGGAGACAGGGATCAACCGCTTCCCCAGCGAAAGAGAGGCTTTCATGGCGGCTAGCGGCCTGTTCAAGATCAGCAACAGCGACCCACGCCTCAGCATGGCATCACTTGAATCGCTGAGACCCCCAGACGACAGGACGGGCCGGGGACTTGGGGGGGAGCGCCACTCTTTCTCCCCTGGACAGGACTACCTCTGGAGGGGGGACAGCGGGGTTGGGCTGAGATGAGACACTGGCCTGGACCCAAGAAGGACAGAAAGAGGAGACGGGACAGCCACACACCTGGGAAGGGAGGGAGAGACAAAAACTGGGAGGAAGAACAGGGGATCATTAGCACTTATTTTTCTCTCTTTTGAAATGTTAATTGAATGAAGAAAAGGACGAAAACGGAATGAATGGTTGGAAATTATTCCTCTCATTCTGAAGATAATTTTATGTTGCAAATTTAAACAATAAAGAAAAAACATGTTGGAAAACAACCTTGTGTCGTGAAGAAGAACAGAAAATAACCTCTTGAAGTATGGGAACTTTAGGAAATCTCCTCAGAGAAAGGTCTTCCATGTCAAATATCCCAAAGAGATGACTACCAATACCACATGAACACTGATGTTGGACACTGACCTATCATTGAACTTGCTGCAACACAGTCATATTGACCAAATGACTCTGGAAGAACCATTTAAACCAAATACAGGAAGACCTGATTCTCTGACCTGTACCTGTTGGAAGACAATAGACTGTTATCAATGACCTTCAAGGAGATGAATATATTTGCTGTATTGACTTTTCCCACTGTGTTTTTGTTTGTAAGCTCATTTCACCAGAACTCTGATATTAGCAATTCCAAAAGATAAAACATATATACACTACCAGTCAAAAGTTTTAGAACACTACTCATTCAAGGGTTTTTCTTTATTTTTACTATTTTCTACATTGTAGAATAATAGTGAAGACATAAACTATAAAATAACACATATGGAATCATGCAGTAACCAAAAAAGTGTTAAACAAATCAAAATATATTTTATATTTGAGATTCTTCAAATAGCCACTCTTTGCCTTGATGACAGCTTTGCACACTGTTGGCATTCTCTAAACCAGCTTCATGAGGTTGTCACCTGGAATGCATTTCAATTAACAGGTGTACCTTCTTAAAAGTTAATTTATGGAATTTCATTCCTTCTTAATGCGTTTGAGCCAATCAGTTGTGTTGTGACAAATTAGGGTGGGTATACTGAAGATAGCCCTATTTGGTAGGAATGGAAGACCTAGTTACCTCTGCTGCAGAGGATACGTTCATTAGTTACCAGCCTCAGAAATTGCATCCCAAATAAATGCTTCACAGAGTTCAAGTAACAGACACATTTCAACATCAACTGTTCAGAGGAGACTGTGTGAATCAGGCCTTCATGGTCGAATTGCAGCAAAGAAACCACTACTAAAGGACACCAACAAGAAGAAGAGACATGCTTGGGCCAAGAAACACGAGCAATGGACATTAGACCGGAGGAAATGTGTCCTTTGGTCTGGAGTCCAAATTGGAGATTTTTGGTTCCAACCGCCGTGTCTTTGTGAGAGACGTGGTGTGGGTGAACGGATGATCTCCACATGTGTATTTCCCACCATAAAGCATGGAGAAGGAAGTGTTATGGTGTGGGGGTGCTTTGCTCGTGACACTGTCTGTGATTTATTTAGAATTCAAGGCACACTTAACCGGCATGGCTACCACAACATTCTGCAGCAATACGCCATTCCTTCTGGTTTGGGCGTAGTGGGACTATCATTTGTTTTTCAACAGGACAATGACCCAACACACCTCCAGGCTGTGTAAGGGCTATTTTACCAAGAAGGAGAGGGATGGAGTGCCTCAACCAAATTGAGATGGTTTGGGATGAGTCGGACCACAGAGTGAAGGGAAATCAGCCAACAAGTGCTCAGCATATGTGGGAACTCCTTCAAGACTGTTGGAAAAGCATTCCAGGTGAAGCTGGTTGAGAGAATGCCAAGAGTGTGCAAAGTTGTCATCAACGCAAAGGGTGGCTATTTGAAGAATCTGAAATGTAAAATATGTATTTCTTTGTTTAACACTTTTTTGGTTACTACATGATTCCGTATGTGTTATTTCATAGTTTTGATGTCTTCACTATTATTCTACAATGTAGAAAATAGTTAAAAATAAAGAAAAACCCTTCAATGAGTAGGTGTTCTAAAACTTTTGACCGGTAGTGTATATTTTTATTTTTTAATTAACTATGATTTTGTCAAACATACATTTCCTAAGATGAAACTATCAGTCGTTATACCATCATTTTATTTATGTTATGTTATTTATTATGTGTAAAAGTTTTGTCCAACATTTTTGCCTTTATTGCCACAAATTCAGAGATATATTTATGTGATCCTAAATAAACAACTTGTTCTACATCTTTGTTATTCTGTGCATTCTAAATACACCAGGAATATTCCGGGGAAATTATTTATGACCTGAAATCAATGAACATGTGACTTTGATACACGGATCATGAGTATTGCTGTTTCTGAAGAACAGCCAGTGTAATTTTATGTTCATGCCAAAGTTTGTTTTGTCAGGCATTTGCTCTCAAAAAAATTATTGTTTGAAGTTTTATTTCGTTGCTGTAAATGTTTGTGATGTGTTGAATAAAAACGATAAAATCATCAGCTTTTGTCACCTATCGATTGAGTATCAACATACAGCAAGCTGTCCCTATGATAGATAAAGGCATACATGTAATTCAATTCAAATTCTGTATTACCATATGCATATTTGGCTGGGTTTGAAAAAAGCCTATAATGAGGGGTTTATGTAAGACGATTGGAATAAAATGTGAGAAGTAACCTGCCATTGCACAATGCACGCAAGGTAGGCCTACCCAATGAGCAAAATTATTCTAAAGCTTGATCAAACACATTTTTCTATAATATTAGCCTACCAGAATCTGTCCCAATTTTTGTCTATGTTGGCTTACCAATCTACAACAATGTTTCGGTCACTTTTTACTACAGTGGTTTGAAAAAGTATTCACTCCCCTTGGCATTTTTCCTATTTTGTTGCCTTACAACCCACCCACCAAAACTCACAGACCAGGCAAGGAGGGCATTAATCAGAGAGGCAACAAAGAGACCAAAGATAACCCTGAAGGAGCTGCAAAGCTCCACAGCTGAGATTGGAGTATCTGTCCATAGGACCACTTTAAGCCGTACACTCCACAAAGCTGGACTTTACAGAAGAGTGGCCAGAAAAAAGCCATTGCTTAAAGAAAAAGATAAGCAAACACGTTTGGTGTTCGCCAGAAGCCACGTGTGAGACTCCCCAAACATATGGAAGAAGGTACTCTGGTCAGATGAAACTAAAATTGAGCTTTTTGGCCATCAAAGAAAATGCTATGTCTGGTGCAAACCCAACACCTCTCATCACGCCTAGAACACCATCCGCACAGTGAAGCATGGTGGTGGCAGCATCATGCTGTGGGGATGTTTTTCATCGGCAGGGACTGGGAAACTGGTCAGAATTGAAGGAATGATGGATGGCGCTAAATACAGGGAAATTCTTGAGGGAATCCTGTTTCAGTCTTCCAGACATTTGAGACTGGGACGGAGGTTCACCTTCCAGCAGGACAATGACCCTAAGCATACTGGTAAAGCAACACTTGAGTGGTTTAAAGGGAAACATTTAAATGTCTTGGAATGGCCTAGTCAAAGCCCAGACCTCAATCCAATTGAGAATCTGTGGTATGACTTAAAGATTGCTGTACACCAGCGGAACCCATCCAACTTGAAGGAGCTGGAGCAGTTTTGCCTTGAAGAATGGGCAAAAATCCCAGTGGCTAGATGTGCCAAGCTTATAGAGACATACCCCAAGAGACTTGCAGCTGTAACTGCTGCATAAGGTGGCTCTACAAAGTATTGACTTTGGGGGGGTGAATAGTTTGGCACGCTCAAATTTTCTGTTTTTTTGTCTTAGTTCATGTCTGTTTCACAATAGAAAATATTTTGCATCTTCAAAGTGGTAGGCATGTTGTGTAAATCAAATGATACAAACCCCCCAAAAAATCCATTTTAATTACAGGTTGTAAGGCAACAAAATAGGAAAATGCCAAGGGGGGTGAATATTTTCGCAAGCCACAGTATATGAGATGCATATACAAGGTGTATACAATATGTATGTTATGAGAGGACATAGTGTCCGTAAAAGGAAGAAGATGCGAGGTGCACTGTGGACTAAAGCTCCGTCCTAAATGGCACCCTATTCCCTATAGTTCACTACTTTTGACCAGGGATCTATGGGTAGTGCACTAGGGAATACCGTGCCATGTCAGATGTAGCCACCACTGCAGCAGCAGCCTCCTGACAGAGACACATGGAGACATGGTGGCTGGGGGATGCTAACTCACTGCCTTACATGGCCACTTGGAAAAAAGGAACGGAACAGAAGAGAGGGAATGAGGGATGAAGGATGAGAAAGAGGAAGAGAACGTGCAGAGGAGGGAGAGTACCCCAGGTGTGGGGGTGATAAGTGATGGGGTTAATAATCCTTGAGGTAGGGTAAACATGCTGCAGCTGGCCATGTGACATCACTAGCTAGATGTTCTGCTCTCCTGGGATGTTTAGGGTATGGGGATACAGGTAACCCAGCGGTAAAGAGCGTTGGGCCAGTAACCTAAAAGTTGCTGGTTCGAATTCCCAAGCCAACTAGCTGAAAAATCTGTTGATGTGCCCTTGTGCAAGGCACTTAACCCTAATTGCTCCTGTAAATCGCTCTGGGTAAAAGCGTCTGCTAAATAATTAAAATGTAAAAAAATGTAAAATTCTGCTCCAAGTTCTTGTCTGCATCTGAAATGGCACCCTATTCCTTATGTAGTGCACCAGAGCGCTATGGTCAAAAGTAATGCACTATATAGGGAATAGGCTGCCATTTTGGACACACACCTTGTAACAAAACTGCATTGACGCTGGCACTAAGACCGCACTCAATGAGCTGCAGTGGTGTAAAGTACTTAAGTAAAAATACTTTAAAGTACTACTTAAGTTGTTTTTTCTGGTATCTGTACTTTACTTTACTATTTATATTTTTGACAACTTTTACTTTTACTTCACTACATTCCTAAAGAAAATAATGTACTTTTCACTCCATTTTCCCTGACACCCAAAAGTACTCGTTACATTTCGAAAGCTTAGCGGGACAGGAAAATGGTCCAATTCACACACAT